ACAACTCACCGTGCAGGTGCTGCAACACAACTCACCGTGCAGGTGCTGCAACACAACTCACCGTGCAGGTGCTGCAACACAACTCACCGTGCAGGTGCTGCAACACAACTCACCGTGGGGCTGGGGTGGGGATGCAGCGTGTGGGGAAGGGTTGTGGTAGGGGGGGCAGTAGGAGCGTGCCAGGTCCCCAGTCTTGCAGGGGGCGCTGACGGGGGTGTACTCGTCCCCATGTGAAGGGGGGGACATTGCCACATATGACCGCGTGCCCTGCAAGTCAACAAATTATTAGTAATGAGGTAACTAAATTGTAAATTTTCATTCCAATATTAGACCTCAGCATCATTTGCTGATGCAGATTTTTTTCACTAAAATATTAGACAAAAGCTCATTTCTTTGCGAGCTTGAAGACAATAGCATAGATAAAAAAAATTACTAATTGCACATCAGAAAAGCAAAATTATTCCATGTTGGGCAAGTAAACTAATTACATGTCTTGTGAAATGTTAGGCAGATAAATGAATTGCATGGCAGGAAGACAAAATTCAATGAAGTTCAGATAAATTATGTTATTGTACATAAGATGTGCAAACTTATTTCATATTGAGCAAGCAGAGTTAATGCATGTTATGTGAGCAAAAAATTAAATTTATCAGAGTTGCACTATTAAATAACATTTCAACTTAAAACCAAATAATATGCATTTAAAAATTACTTTTTAAAGACAACACTTCTTAAGCATCCAGTGTCTCCGGTGTTACACATGTACAATGAATTTCTAATTTTATTATGAAATATTAAGAAAATTAATTTTTCAATTTTATTTAAAAAAAATTAAATTGTTCAAAATTATTTATTCTGTCAATTGATAAATGCATTGTCTCCAACTTTATGCAAATATGCAAAATTTCAGGTTGATCAGACAGGTAGAAGTGTGTTAAATATTGTTTATAAGTTATGGCAGACAAAATATTTTTTTTTCATTCCTTTTAATATCAAAAATAAAATTTTTTATATTTTCAAAATTATTTATTCTGTCAATTGATTCATGCATTGTCTCCGACTTTATGCAAGTGTGTAAAATTTCAGATCAATTAGAGGGGTAGAAGCGTGTTAAATATTGATTATAAGATTTGTAGCAGACAGACAAACAAGAACCAGTGAAGTTAAAGAGAAGTGTTGTAAAAAGATGCTACATCCCCAGTTTGAGGTTCAGCTTAACAAGTCAGTAAAACAGTATACATACATTGAACAACACAAATGGTTTGACCTGAGATATCAGTATTCAAAAAAGGTAATAGTAGAAATACAGAGATAAAGTTTTTATATTGAACCATTTAATGAGTAAGTAGATAGATACCTAATTTCCCAATATGACTGGTAATGTGCTTTCTCATATTCGAACAGTAAATTTTACAATTGAATTTTCTGACCAAAATGACAGTAAAGTGATAGGTTAGATAATTTCAATCTGCAACAGGATACAGAATGTTGAAAAATATACAATTACACGAATCTAAGATGTGATCATTCTACTACTAATTTTCAAAATTAGAAATACTCAATATTTATATATATATGCCTGTTCATGAAAGTAGTTAACACTAACAGAAATTAACAGTCTTATGGGAAAAGAACATGTGTGTCTGTTTTCTTGACAACTCTATATAATTTCATGTTCTGATGTCATTTGACTGTCAATTAAACCCTTCACCTCAACCTAAAATATCTACTAACAAAACCAGTGATCCCCCATCACTAAACCTGGGAAATTTTCCTTAAAACTTCCTCAGCATTACAAAACAAAAGAAGTTGGTATCAAGACTATACTGATTAAGTGAGACTAAAACAACTAACCACTCACAAAAGCTGGGATTCCCCATTATGAAACCTGGGAAATTTTTCTTCAAATTTCCGCAGCATTACAAGACAAAAGAAATTGCTATCAAGACTATACTGATGAAGTGAGATGTGCATGAAACTTTTTGCTCACAGTCGTGGGCTGGTAGGGAGACTGTGGGTTGTGCGGTACACCAACAGCCTGACTCCTGCTGCCACCATTGCCATAAGCCAGTAAACTGCTGCTGTTGTTGTTACCACTCAGCTTCAATTGATTGCCTGCACATTAAGAATAATTTTACAAACAAATAACATGGAAATAACAATTAAATTCATAAAAGTAATTGGATGTCAACAATGAAAGAAGAATCCTTGGGTAAAAAGCATATGTAAAATTCATAACAACAAAATAAGTTTTTCAAAACAAACATAGAATGTCTCATTATGTTAGTACTTAATAGCTCATCAATTTATTTGGGTATATAAAGATTATGAGGAGCACTATCATCCAATAAAGATATAATTTTGGCAAAAGGCAACTAAGTTACTAGATAACATATAATGATACTTTCTCTTGAATGTCTAGGACACAAAAATTATTTAACAGTGAAATTCTCAAAGTACACCTAGTGTTAGAGTGGTAAAATGTTGGCAAAAGTAATCCAAGTAGGTAAATCTCACCTGGGAAATAGCCAGTTTCTTTTGTGCGTTGATTCTGCCCAAAGATGTAACCCATTGGATGGTCTGGTCTGATATTCTGCTCATAAATTTTGTCTGCTGGAACCACTATGATGTCTCCAACCTCCATTGCTGGCTTCCCATAGTTTGGCCCTCGAGCCGTGTAACAAAAGAAGCTTCCTCGGCTGGCATCCATTATGCAGTAAAAAAACTAAAAATGGCCAGAAACTATGAAGTAATATCACAAAAGTGTCTTAGAAGTTCTTCACAGTCGAAGGGCATCATAAAACTGACCCCAGTTTGGATAAAATGCACAAGCTCAGCTAAGTTGGTTAAAAATGAAAAACCTTTAATTCAATTAGAATTTAATCCATCAGTAGACGTGTTAAAAAGGTTTATATAAAATTTTACATTCCTGGCAGTAATAGATATACTTTAAGTAAAATACAAGTGCTGGAAGTACAGAATAGAATTTTTTAAAATTACAAAAATCAAAATGCAGTGTCACACTTGGACTTGACTGATTATCTTTCTATGCAACATTTTATCTGGAAATGTGTTTGCTGATTGCAAGTGGCAATGAGCCACCATTTAAAGCATCATCCTCCAGTGATGTTGAAGGCAATTGTGTATCCAGGAACAACTAAAAAATATAGGTAACTCAGTACTCACTGCAGTGAGTGATAGAGAGCACATTTTCTTGTCAACAAAAAAGTGAAGTCACGAATGGACAGACAGACAGACAGACAGACAGACAGACAGACAGACAGACAGACGGATGTACATGGCAAGCACAATAGTGCATTTTTTCCATAAATGAGAAAATGCGCTAAAGAGTCAATATCAGTTCCCTTAGTAGTTAGTAGATATGTGGAATGAAAAATTTGTTGACTATCTGACTTCACTGGCTATACCGGTAGTTCCAGGCCATGAATTTCAGTGTTGATATCCAACAGAAATTCATTCACTCTGCAACCCCTTTACCTTTCCAAGGATTAAAAATTACTCAACAATTATAGCAATTAATAAGGCATTTAGAAAGCAGCATTAGATTTCCAGTACTGTGGACAACATTTAAATATCATAGTGCCAGGCATCAGGTGCAATGCTCCATCCTGCCTAACATGCAGTTTATGAAACCCTAGCCAACAGGCACTTAATATTATAGTTTGTTTGGTTTTGAGTGCACATGATGCTTTGTGAATATACAATCCCTATTCATCTAGGCTTCTTTTGTACCTTCCATTTCAACTTAAAAAGCTACTGAAAAATCCCAGATTCACTGCTCAAGTGGAGATGCCAAAATATTACCAAGATGTGATCCCCTCAAACGGGGTAAAAAGGGACGGTATTGAGCATTTTTTGTTAATAACTTCTTACCATGAAACATTTCACAAACAAGTTTAGGCTCATTTTATAGCTCTTTGTGAGGGCAATCAAATGGCATCTTTAAAAAAATTCAATATGCTATTGGTAAGGTGCCAGACGCAAAATAAAATCATCCCAATTTACCCCTGGGAATGGGGTAATCTGGGACACTTGCAATAAAAGTTAACTTTAAAACGTTTGAAGCATGCAGAGTGTACTCATCCATTACTAACAGACTCTGAAGCCCTCCTCTTTCATTGTAGATGATGTAGATGTAAAATAAATGACATTTTCTGCGATTTTTACTTGTTTTTATTTATTGATATGATATAACCATATTCATTAATTACCATATTATTAATGTGATATTACTGTATCCATGGACATGCCATTGAGCATTGACAACAACCTTGTCCACTGCAAGCTTCATATCAGCAGCCATGTAGCATTTCTTCTGTATCTGTAAGCTTACAGGTTGGTTTGTAATTTTGCACAATTTTAATTGAGTCAAGTGATTTCACCATAACAAAAAAGATTGTGAAAAACATACCTGGAACAGAAAATAATGTTTTAGTGACAACCATCATATGTTTTGGAGAAATAAATCATAGTTTAGGTCAATTACTTTTCATTCTATGATGCCCAGTACACATTTCTATATATAGCATTCTATGTACAATTTTGTGACGACCGCTGATGCACTAATTCTTTGAAAGGTGATTTTTTTTTGCTGAGCGAGGTAAATGTAATCAAAATACTTTGTTGTTAATCAATTTTTTTGTTAACTGGAGCCTTTGCCAACTGAGGTTCAACTGTAAATGCATTTTAAAGGGTATCCCTAATTACCCTGGGGGGTGTCCTTTTTTACCCCATTGCGTGGAAATGGCTGCCATTTTTTTAATGAGATAGACAAATCCCATAAATAACGTTTTCAAGCCAACACCTGGGTGCAACTTTTATGCAAGTAAAACTATTTAATACAGCAAATATTTTTTTGCACCAGACCTTAGCAGAGGTACTTTTCCAAAATCCCACTTTTCACACTTTTTTTAGTTCATAATAGATAGTAAAAATGTTGAAGTTTCCGCCACTATTTTTAGTTTTGCAATATTTTTATGTAGGACGTGTGTCCCGATTGAACACGCCCATCCCTTTTTACCCCGTTTGATGGTATTAGTCATGAAACAGCTTAAAACGGGTACCAAAAACTTAGCAAGTTCAAAACTAGGCGTTGTATGCAGCAAAAATTGGCTGGAATTGAAACTGAGAGGCAAAATCAGACATATGAAACACCAGGAAAATAACCAGGGGTGTAAAGTTTAGAATCAGTTTCTGGTGAAAAGGCAGAAAAATCTTCAAGTTTACCCAAGAAGTTATTAATTTTGTTTTCGATTTTCAAAATGGTTTTAGAGATTGAATCTGTAATTTCAACAAATTTAGAAGGATTGATTATGAGTGCAGTAAGGCTACTGTTTTACCAGCTATGATCCACCAATACAACGCCTTTGCCCTTGTCAGGCCTACAATTGATGAAGTCTTTATTTTTGGCCAAATCTTTCAATAAAAGAGCGTCACAAAGTTTGAATGAAACAAAAAAATTTTATGCAACCATAAAAAAAATGTCATAAAAACCATAAAAATAATGGTAGGCTAGGCTTCGCAGCTTTTCAAGAAAGTCGGGCCAGTCAGGGATAGAAACATTTGTAATGCTCAATGCAAGTCATTGAAAGGCTAAAAAATTTATAATAGTCTAACTTAAAAATGAGCAGGCAAAAATCAAGGCCAAAAGCGAACAAGAATTTGGCATGGGGTTCCAGGCTGAAGGAACTATAGTTGAAAACAACCTTATCAGGATGTTAATCACTCTTTGCCATACCTTGGCTCTGCATCCAAAATTATGTCAAGAAAGCTAAAACTTTTGTTATCAAAGTACTTCCAAATGTTGATATTTGTGTTATATTGGTAAACAATTTTAAAATTATTTTTTCTTTAGGTGAAAAGATAACTCCTATGCATATGCAAGCATCCCTAGTTTAAAAATATAGTTTTGCACAATGTGCATCTGCATATATCAGGATGTCTTGCAATCTTTATAGTAGGGTCACAGAACATAGGGGGAGGAGTTGTAGAACTGGTCTCATACTATTGCTTCCTCCTCATTTGGCTGTGAACACTTACGCTGAGCAGTGCGATGTTCCAAGTTCTGATAGTGACTTCAAGATTTAGCTTATACTTTGGGTGTTTCTGATTTGCGCATTTCAGAATCATTGTATATTTTTTAACAGAGGCCTGGTTTAAATTTAGCTTATAGCTCTTATCTAATTGAAATTGTAAATAAATACCGTCAACCGGGGCTACTCGGGACAAGCGGGACTACTCGGGACAGGCCTCCGACACGGCGTAAAACTGTTGTAGTAGCGAAACTAATTGGAATATTGCAAAACTAAAAATAGTGGCGTAAACGTCATCATTTTTACTATCTATGTATATAAAGGAAGTCGAAAAATACTACATTTACTTGCTTTGAAAAATTCCTGAAAAAAATGGTGAAAAACTATATTTTGTAAAGTTACAACTGCTAAGGTATGTAGCAAAAAAAATATTTGCCGTATTAAAAAATTTTACTTACGTAAAAGTTGCACCCAGGTGTCAGCTTGAAAACGTAATCGACAGAATTTGCCTATCTCATTCCAAAAAGAAATGGCAGTCATTTCTGAATGGCGGGGCTACTTGGGACACCCCCCGGGGCTATTCGGGACACTCCCAAAAATGCATTTACGGTAGAACCTCAGTTAGCAAAGGCTCCAATTACGAAAAAAATTGATTAAAAACAAAGAATATTGATCAAATATTCCTTGCTCAGCGAAAAAATCTTCACTTATCGAAAAATTAGTGCATCATCGGTCATCACAAAATTGTGCATAGCATGTCATATATAGAATTGTGCACCAGGCATCATAGAATGAAAAGTAATTGACCTAAACTATGATTTATTTCTCCAAAAGATACATTGGTTGTGACTGAAACATTCCTTTCTGTTTCAGGTATGTTTTTCACAATCTTTTTTACCATAGTAAATTCACTTAACCCAATTAAAATGTGAAATTGCGAGCTGTCCTGTAAGCTTAGATACGAAAAAATGCTATAAGGCTGCTGATATGAAACTTTCAGTGGACAAGGTTGTTGTAAATGATCAATGGCATGTTCATGGATACAGTAATATCGCATCAATAATATGATAATTGCACATCAATAATACGGTAATTAATGTATATGGCAATATCATATCAATAAAGGAAAAACAAGTAAAAATCACAGAAAATGTCATTTATTCTACCTCTACATCATCTACAATGAAAGAGGAGGACTTCAGAGTACTGTTAGTAATGGATGAGTATGCTCTGCATGCTTCAAATGTTTTGAAATGAAGTTTTATTCCCATTGTCCCGAGTAGCCCCGACCGACGGGGCTACTCAGGACAATCTTTATTTTGCATCTGGCACCTTACGAATAGCATATGGAATTTTTTGACAATGCCATTTGATAGCCCTCACAAAGAGCTATAAAATGAGCCTAAATTTGTTTATGTAATGTTTCATCGTAAGAAGTTCTTAACAGTTATTAACAAAAAAACGATCAAATCTGTCCCGAGTAGCCCCGGTGGACGGTAGGTTTTACAATTTACATTATTTGTAATCTTAACTACTTACTGATTTATGTCTTCTACAATTATCAAACTGACAATGGCACTGAATTCAGATATATTTTCTTTAAGGACAGTATGAATTTTTGTGGTATTTTCTTTCAAATTTTTAGTGAATTTGATTTAAGCAAATGAGTTACTTATTACTTATATACATACAAAATATGGCTAAGATGGCTGCCACTGTGTTAGGAAATACCATGATATACTTGTAAGACCGCAAAGACTGTGCTGGACATCAATTATTTGGTGAAATGCAAGGCTTATATTGTTTTCACCAAATTCCTGAGATTTAAACTGTACAAACAGTGTGCATACGTCCACCTTTTATAAATCATGGCAGAACAAGCCTTTGAGAGACATGCTTTGAGCATTAAGAAT